TAAAAAAAAAAAAAAAAAAGAATTGGATGCTCAACTGAGTCAACCACCCAGCAGCCCCATCTCTGTACTTTTTTAATCTGAAAAATAATAAAACAGTTTCCATTTCAGAAAAAAACAGTAAATCAAAACAACTAAAGCAAACAAAAAAAATTAGTGGAAGGTCTCTTTCAGTGTTTAGAAATCATAAGTGAGAAAAGCAAGCTACAGAACAGTATTTTACATACTTAGTTCACCTAATATATATATTCAGTGTCTTAAAAAATCCTCGAATAAAAATGCTCCACCATTAACAGTTGTTATCTCTAGGTGGTATAATTTACAGATGGTTTTTATTTTCTTTGTATTTTCCTTATTTGCATGTATTACATATGTAAGCCAGAAAAAAAAATGTGGGAATATACACCAGTGTTAAAGACTGAAGTCCTGAATTGTTTTCAGTGACCTTATTCTTACCATTGTGGGTAGTGGCTACTTACCTGGATGAGTACAGCAAGGTACTAAGAGAGCTCCCTGGTGCAGAGGATATTTTTTTTCTTTCATAAATGGCTACTTTATTCTTTGACGGCTGCATTGATCATTTATGTAACATCGTGCCTCCTTCAGGTGCTGCACTATCTGGCAGTACAGAAACCTGCAGACCTTGCTCGGCACCTGTTACCTTGTGTAATTCATGCAGCTGTACTCAAGGTAAAGGAAGAAGGTAAATGTCTTATTTCATTAGTCATTAGTTCATTTCCAAAATGAAAGTAAATTTTGCCTGACTGACTGAATGATGGCTTTGATCTTTTTCAAAACAGAAAATCTGGAAAACATTTCTTCAGTCAAGAAGATTATAAAGCAGATAATAACTCATTCCAGTAAAGTTTTGCACTTCCCCAATCCAGAAGATAAGAAATTGGAAGTAAGTTTGCTGTAGTGTTGGGATCTTGCCAAGTGGTCTCCACTTGGCATTGATTATTTTAAAGATCTCATTTTTTAAAGGCTGCTTTTTTTTGCTGCTTTCTAATGTATGTCTCTCCCTTTTCCACTGTTAGGAAATCATCCATCAAATTACTAATGTAGAAGCTATAATTGCCAGAGCCCGCTCACTGAAAGCCAAGTTTGGAACTGAGAAATGTGAACAAGAGGAGGAAAAGGAAGACCTTGAAAGGTAATTGATAGTTGAGTAACTTTTATCTGCAGTAGGAAAAACCACCATTCTCTTTAGAAAATTTCAATAGAATGCTGAGATTCTTTTGTTGTACCCTTATGTTATTTGTAGCAAGTATCAGCTAGAGACAGAGAAATATTTAATTATCAAAGAATTTGACCTCACCTGTATTTCTGGGTGATTTCATTCCTTCCACCCTTAGAATGAGTCTACCAGATCCTTTTTTCTAGGAATGTCCTTGTTTGCTCTTGGAGATGTGCCTGCAGTTGCCTGTGGAAGAGCTAGTTACTCTTTGTTACTTGCAGTGCCCCAGAACTTTGCTTTCGGCTTTCGCTGTTCTTTAACCACAGTCTGAGGTGTTCTGAAATTGTACTTCTGCCCAATATTTCTAGTTATTTATTTGACTTTAAACAAGGTTTTTGATAGCAAAGGTGCATATCCTGTGTACCTTGTGAACATGTTTTAAAAGAGTGACCAGATGGCCTCTCCAGGATGATACAGATGACCAGGTCAGTCATTTCCTCCTCCTGAGAGAGACTTGGCACCGTTACCTGTTAGTATGAGTCCCTGTCCATTTTTGTTTGTAGTACTTGAAAGAAAAATGTTGTTTTAATATGTTATAAAGTGTTTCCAAATTAGCTACTTCAGCAACTTGAATTTATCATAATTTTAAAGTCTTCATCAGCCTTTTGAGAAATGAAGTGGCATTATTGATCCTAAATAGTATTACATGACAAGACATGTGCTATAGCTCTTAACAAGTTCTTGTTAGAATTTTATACCTTCTGTTTGGTGAAATTTTGTCTTAGTCGTCTTTGCTCTTGAAAATTCCTTCCTTGTAAATGAGAAGAATAAATGCTAATCAAGGGAATCATTTCTAAAATAGCAGTATGAATTAGTGGTGCAGGCACTATGATAGCTTCAGAGCTAAATACGTTATCTGTGATGTATGTGGAGGTGCAGTGTTTCCAGCACCTAATGGCACAGTTGAGATTTTGCCTAGCAAAATGTATCTTTTAAGTGTGTGCACGTGCGTGCGTGCGCGTGCGCTCGCGCGCACGCACACACACGCACACGCACACACCTTAAAAGAACAAAAATGAGAAATGTCGGTCATTGCTTTGCTGTATACATATAACTGGGTTTTTGTTGTCTAAAAATACTGTTTGAACCTTTTATTTACTGTAATATTTTTGAAGCTTCTAGTCTGAAAGACATAGACTGAATATTTCTTTTTACCCTTTGACAGAGATGAGATTTTAAAAATTCTTTGAAAACAACTGAAAGGCAGTAAGAGTGCCATTTGAGTCTATTTTAATTCCAAATGTGACTCTGTTCTCTTAGAGAAGTTCTACTCTAGCTTTGGCGGGTTTAGCCAGTGTCAATTTGTGAGTTTGTCCACAATGTTAATCTGGGAGGACTGACACAGAGTGAACTGATTAGCTCACTTTCTGTCCTTTAATTACCTCTCTCCCCTAGGTTTGTGAGTTGCCTTTTGGAGCAGCCTGAAGTGTTAGTTGTGGGCGCAGGAAGAGGACATGCTGGCAAAATCATTCACAAGCTGTTTGTGAATGCTCAGAGGGTATGTGAATTTCCTTATTGACTGTGTCATGATGTCCCCAGACCTCTACTCAGTGACATGCTATTTTGATTCCCACACATGGCTGATAATACAGCTGCTGAGTGTAAGTCTCGGCGTTGGGTTCAAACAGTACAAAAAGACACTCAGTGGTGACTTCTGAGTCTTTGAAATCCATTTGCTTTCCTACATATTAAAGTATAATTATAAGTATATTTTAGGACATAAATTTCAGAAGTTAGAAGAGTCTGGAATCGATTGTTATAGAAACTAGTAGGGACTCAGTTAGCAATGGCCAGTGCAGTGCAATAAGAAAAAATGTTGCACACTTTCAAATTAAGATGGAGTTCTGTATTACCAATTTTAAAACCCATGTACTCCAGATGGATTCACAGTTTTGCTTGTGAGGTTAGTATATCTGTTTCTGTCATAGTAAATCGATCTAAGGAAGAGCAAGATTTCAGATATTTAGGGCTTTGGAAACAGGCTCCAGGACACAGAAAGAGAGCCCAGTTGGAAAAATTTTCTTTGGTATTACCTCTGCTACGAGAGTCAAGGTTCAAAAGTTATGTAGTACTTTCTGACGTTCTGAAACTATTAAAATTATAATTTTTACGAAGGTAATGCTAGTTATACTTTGTGGATAACTCTACTGATGATGGTTAAGATGATTTTCATGTCAGGGTTCATTAATATTAAAGATGGTGATAAAAATATTATAGAGTGTGCTGTGGATAGCCCCTGACTTAACGATGATATAACTTACAGTATTTGACTTTATGATGGTGAGAAAAAAATATGTATTCAGTAGAAACCATATTTTGAGTTTTGGTCTTTTTTCGGGCTAGCAGTATATGCCACCAGGGCAGTGGCAGGTCCCCGCTGTCACATGGTCATGAGGGCAAAGAGTTGATATACTTATCTGCAACTACTGTACTCAGACATCTGTTCCGTTCTCACTTTCAATACAATATTTTAATAAATTACACGATGTAGTCAGCACTTCATTATAAAATAGGCTTTTTGTGAGATGATTTTTGCCCAACTGTAGGCTTTATGTGAGTGTTCTGAGCTTGGGTAAGGTAGGGTAGGCTGAGTTACAATGTTTGGTAGGATAGGTGTAGTAAATGTTTTCTCAACTTAGGATATTTTCTTTTTCTTTCTTTTTTTAATTTTTATTTACTTTTGAGAGAGAGAGAGGGAGTGAGGGAGAGTGTGAGCAGGGGTGGGGACAGAGAAAGAGGGAGACAGAGAATCCCAATCTGGCTCCACACCATCAGTGCAGAGCCTGATGTGGGGCCCAGACCCACAAATCGTGAGATCATGACCTGAGATGGAATCAGGAGTTGGACAAGTAACCAACTGAGCCACTCAGGTGCTCCCAATTTAGGATATTTTCAATTTAGGATGGGTTTATTGGGATTGTAAGTCAAGGAAGGTATATAAGTACAGGGTGCCCTTTGCCTGGAACTGTGATGACTCTAGAATGACCCACTTATGAAAGTGTCATTCTCAGAATCAAATAAAAAGAATTTTCATGAGTTTACATATGATATAAAAGCTGTGTAATCTCCTTTGAGTCCGTCTGGATTATTTCTAGTTAATATAGTCAATTTCATAGCCAAATGTACTGACCTGAATTTTTAGCAAGAAGTGAAAACCTATGATTATTTATGAGATTGCTCCCTAATTTTAAGATTTCAAGTTAAAAACCAAATACTTAATTTCCTTATAGAGTTCTAGAAAACAGTAGATGCTTACTTTGGTTTGTTTTGTCTCTGCCATGAAACCAGGAAACAAGTTTGTTTTGCATCCTATATCCTTTACCAACTCACTAGCCAGAAGCTAATAACTCCATTTCCTGTCACCACCAATATGAATTTTTCTCCTGTTGCAGAAATTCTTTCCTTTGTCCTCCCTTTTACAAACTTGTTTATTAAGAGGATTTAAAATCCAAAGTATTTTTAGTTTTAATGCTTAGAGTATTCCTTGTTTTGAATAGTTAAGCTAAATTATTTACTGCAAAATGGAAATTGTGTTTCTTCCCTAGAAAGTTAGTAAAGGTCAACTGTAAAAATTTGGATAACACAGAAAATTTTAAAGAATTAATGACATTAATCTTTCTACCTACTGATGATCACTGTCAACATTTGACCTGTAGTATATATAAGTACATGTATATTTTACAAAACCAGTATATTTTTATGTATTTTACTTTGTTATTCTTGTTTTTCCCTTAATTATCTTATTACATCAGTAAATATAGTGGTGTCTCCTTTCAATGGCCTTGTATAGCTAATTGCCTTTAAGGGATACTAAAATTGCACATTTTTCCCAGTTGTACAATTGTGATTTTAAAACATTTCAAACTTTCAGACCTTGTAGGGAATGGTTTTCAGGAGTTGGCAGACTATAGTCCATATAACAAGCACCTGATTGGTACATTTTTGAACTCAGACCTTAAATGTCTGGCTGTAAACCATTAAAGTTTATTGATGTAACTTCTCATTATCAACTGACACTTTATATCAATTTTAATAAGTCAAGATTAAAAAAAAGTTATGAAATTTCACTGAGGATTTTGTGTAGCATACAGCAGCTTTACATATTTAGAGCTTTTTGCTTAAAATTATGAACTTTATTAAAGTTTATTAAACTTCATTATGATTAAATATATCAGTGGTGTATTCCACTGGAATTCAACAAATAAACCACAGATTGGATTGTGTTTCAGTTTTATCAATTTTGTCCATTAAATGACACTGTACATTGCCTGTTGAACCATCAGATGCATGAGAAGTGGGATATGTCTGCTTAATTTAAGAGCTAGGTGTATTCTGTGTGGTATGTGTTTGTCTTGATATTCTTTTGATAGGATCATGTTCCTTAATGTAGCGCATGCTGTCTCTGAAATGATCTTGAAATCTCTTGTCTAGCTCTTTTTAAACCATCTTGCTTGTTTCCTTTTCATCACTGTTTCTTTTCTCACCCTTTCTCAAGCTGACTGAATCTTCTGATGAGGTAACAAAATAGCCTTTGTCCCTCATAGTCCCTCGTTCCTTCCCATTCCTCTAACTTCATAAGGTCATTAAGACTAACCGCATCTTTAACAGTCTGGATTTGGCATACCTTTCATACTGATGTTTAGTATAACATGATTTCATATTTCCATTGCCAAAACAATATTTTTTTTCTAAATCGATGGTATTGTGAAGGAAATTTAGTAATCAGAGAATGAAAGAAGTATAGTGATCAAAATTAAAATGAAGGCTCTAATTGAGTTTTTTAATGTAATTTTAATGGAAAGCTAGATGCCTTTAATATTGAGAACTTCTCTTTTTGGCCATTGCTACATTACATGGATCTCTATCATTTCTCTATCACCTTAGCCACCCAGCAAATAAAACCAGTGTCCCCAGTTTTAATTTGGCAAATGAATCTTAAAAAGAAAGAAATGAAAGAATGGAGATAAAAACCATCTTTCCAGACTCTGGGGAGAAGCAGCTCCTTACTCGACTGAGGACATCAGACTTGAACTTGGGTTGTTGCTGGAAGAAACATGTAGAAACCAGTGCTACATTTTCCCTCTTTATCAGATGTTGGAATATGGCCCTCACTTTTCAGAGCAGATTGCCTGGCACTCATTATCTCTTTTGTCTCTGTCACCAGTTTATTTGTAATATCTGGCTGTTCATGCATTGTTTCAAGCTTCTTGCTTTTTCTGTGTTGGTTTTTGAGTAATCATAACATGGCTGACTGCATTACTGAGTAATGTAGAACATCTTTTATGTATTTATCATGTTTGTTCATCTGTCCTTCAAAATAATCTAAATTTAGCATTGGACTTGCTCTTGAATTTAGCATTTGATTCTGTTCAAGGCTGCAGCCCTGGCTCCACCGGAGGAGGAACTGAAGAGAATGAGCTCTCCAGAAGAGAGAAGGCAGAACTCGGTGTCAGACTTCCCACCTCCTGCTGGCCGGGAACTCATTTTGCGCACTACTGTGCCACGCCCAGCCCCGTACTCCCGAGCTCTGCCTCAGCGCATGTATAGTGTTCTCACCAAAGAGGATTTCAGACTTGCAGGTGCTTTTTCATCAGATACCTCCTTCTTCTAATTCTTCTGGAGCCACCTTATTTATGGCTTCAGAGACTGTGCTGATCCCTTCTGTGGGAAGAGTTTGTGCCAGTCAAAATTTGAGAGACCCTGAAGAGGACCTGTCCAGTCCATGATCAGGAATCATACCAGCATCTGAAAGACCGTCCAGCGTCATGCTTGGGCTGTGTTGTATCTTGATTTGGGCAGAGAGAATGGGCCTGAGCTTTGGAAAGATTTGTTCCCCAAAGAGATGGACCTTGTTTGAACAGGGGTAGGGGTAGCGGGTAGGGGTATGTACAGGGACCAGAAAAACAGCAGGCGCTCTCTGTACTCCAGTGGGATTGTGCTCATTTATTCTTTCCTATGACTGCCCCCTAGGCTATCACCTTTCATTTTTAGTCTGTGTAAACACACTTGTATTTGTTATATCAAGTATGCAAAACAAAGTATCTGTTAATTCAGATTTCTGGATATTTTGGTGGTAGCTTTTTTTCCTCAGAATCTGTGTTTTTGAAATACTAAATGAAATTCTGTTTATTCAGTCATCTAGTGGCTATCCTTATTGTATTAACTTTTGATGAGCATTTTGAATGTTCTAGGAGAAAGCCTAGAATTTCACATAATTTGTGTTTTTCCGTGTAACTGTGACCTAAATGTATTCCTTCTGATAAAACTATATATTGAATGTCACTGCAAATTAGTTTTATATCTGTGTTATAAGGTTTGTTTCTCTTACGTGTTTTGTTTTTGGTTGACAGTGAGATATTAACCTGCAGACTGTTCTCTTCTGGCAGCATGCATTCCTTTTTTTTTTTTTTTTTTTTTTTTGGTAATTGCTGGCTGGATACTATATTTAATGGAGTAGAGATGAGCACATGCTACAAATATAGCTTTGGAACATAGAGATTATCATGCAGTTAGTATAATTTGGTGTATATGCTAATGTAATGAATAGAAGATTATTTCAGTGAACTATTTTGCTTTTGTGTTCTAGATAAAATGAAAATAATCAGTTGGGATGTATATAGCACCCAGCATAAAGATAACAAGCAACATAATTTCTAGTTATGTAGTGATCAAGATTTATTAAGTCTGTGTTGCTGTATGGCCTCTGTTCAGTAATCTGAAATCTATTTTTAGGCCTAAAATTCCCATTTTAATCCAAAGCAAAAAATGGTTATACTGAAGCATAGACCTTGCCTATGTAATTTAAAGAATTAAATAGAGCTGTGTAAACTGTTATATTATTTTTGTAAAAAAAAAAAAAATGTGTGTGTACATATATATGTATATATGCACATATATATGTATATATCTATATATGAAGTAGGGGATGCCTGGGTTGGTTACCTCTCAGCCTTCACAGTGCTTTTCTCTGAGATGCTGGACTCGATTGCAGCTGGTAAACCATACCGATGCAGGCCTGAGGACTGAGCGCCATACCAAGTAGAAAATATATCTTTCAAGGACAGGGTTTGTCTGCTTTCCAATGAGGAAGTTAATAGTAAAGAAACATTTTTCAAAGAGGTTGGACTTTAAAATGGCATTGCAAGTCTAATAAAAAGGAAAATCTTGCTTTCTCTGGCTACTTTTCTTTTCTCTCCTCTGATGGGCACTTTATTCTTATTTCAGTTAGTTTTATGCTGTCTCACTAAATATTTGCAGCCTGCGGAATCTTACAGAAGTTTCAAGAACATGCTTTGTACCTTCTTTTTTATTGTCAGTTACCCCCCTTTACTTTTATTATAGTTATGTGTCTGTTTATTTCACAGATATACTTTTAAGTAACTAATTCGTATCAAGTACTGTACTAGGCAGTAAAGATAAAATAGACACCAGAACACACTCCCTCCTTTTCAGTGACCTTCTTGGCTGGTAGCAAAGGTAGATGTTACATTGCCATAAAATGGAGAGAACAAGCAGCTCATTTATATGAATTGGAGGTCTGACATGTATCATAGAAATTCGTTCATTCATTCATTCATTCAGTGGCAACAGAGACTAATATATGCAATAATAGTCAATAGAGTAGTACATGCACTAATAAGGTGTTATGACAGGTTTTTCACTCAGGCTTTAGGGATCAGGAAAATCTTTCTAGAGGTAATTTCTAGATTGAGACCAGAAGATGATAGAGGATGATAAAGAGGTGAGGAAATATGGTTAAATTTCTTGCAAAGGAGAACTACATCCTGTATGTACACTTGATAATAGTTTATTGTGATTTTGCCACTGCTACCCTGAAATAGAGTTTACTTTGTATGTATGTTTGGACATTCCTTGTCTTTCAGTCTGGACTTAGCCATGACATTCTTTGGTCATTCTTCGGTATTAGCAAGCGTGACACGGCAGAGACTTGAAAAGTACTTACACCTTGGGGCTTGCCTTCTCTTCCTCTGGGAACCCTGAGACATGCAAAGAACCTGATGCAGAGAGTTGGGTGGTTTGTTACACAGCACAAGTGACTGCATGCTACAGGGGATGGGAAGAATGTTACAGGTAGAGAAAACAGAATGGGCAGAAACTCAGAGACATAAAAAAACCCATCTTTGGAGAATGGCCAACCTTTCAATCTGCCAGGAGTGTGATGCCCAGAGTATTAAGAGGCAAGAAGTGAAGATGTCTAGGTAACCTGACATGGGATTGAGAAGTTCTGTGTAAGCACAGCCACAAGTTTGGGCCTTATCTTCAGGACAGTAAGTCATGGAAGAGTTTTAAGTAAGGTGGATTTCAGACCACACTGTAGCAGGGCAAACAGATTGGAGAGGATATGAAAGTATATACACATCCTGGGTCTTGTACTAAATTGGAAAAGTAGCAGTTATATCAGTAGTTTTTTATCCTCCTCTGTGCTTTGTAATGTGCTGTAAGAGCCTGATGAATGCTTGTGGACCAATATGAAGGGTCCTCACTCTGGGACCCTCCCACACCTATATATTCCTATAGCAGATAATAATTCAGATTTTTAAAGCATTTCTGTTTGTATTTCATTCATTAGTCCAGCAAATGTTTATTGAGTGCCAACTATGTGCTGGGTACTTACTGTCCTGGGAGTGGGGATATAGCAATGAAGAAGACAGATAAAAGACCCCCATGGATATTACATTTAGGGACCCCAAGTATAAACAAATTATCTTAGGGGAAGCAGAGTGTTTTTAGACAGTTGGTAAGGGAATGCCTGTGAGATGGTGACATTGAACAGAGACATGAAGGAAGTGAGTGAACCGGCTTGTGAGAACCTGGGAGATAGTTCCAAACAGAGAATAGCAAATGTAACGAAAGCCCTGAGGTGGGAGTAAACATGATTAGGTTGAAGACCCAGAAAAATTGCCAGTGTGGTTAAAGTGAGTGAAGGGAAGAGAGCAGAGGAAAGAAAGTTGGGCAAATGCACAGGGACCAAGTTACATAAAGCATTGGGAGTTTGGGTTTGTTTCTTGATCAAAAGGGAAGCCGGTGGAGAATATTGAACAGGGGAGTATTGTGATTTTACATTTATAGAATTTGCGCTCTGGCTGCAGTGTGGACACTGAGAGGCAGGGGCACAAGTATGGTGTATATTTGGAAACAATGCACAGAATTTTCTGATAGAATCCCTGAGGGTATGAGTAAGTCCAGGACAGTTTGAAGGTTTGGGACCTGAGTAACTGAGTGAATAATGCTGTCATTTACTGAGATGCAGAAGATTGAGGGAAGAGCATTTTGGGGGGTGATCTAAGATTCTGAGTTAGGATATATTAATTTTGTAAATTTTTTTTTAAATGTTTTATTTATTTCTAGGAGAGAGAGAGACAGCGTGAGCAGGGGAGGGTCAGAGAGAGAGGGAGTCACAGACTCTGAAACAGGCTCCAGGCTCTGAGCTGGCAGTCAGCACAGAACCCGACGCGGGGCTCGAACCCACGAACCGCGAGATCATGACCTAAGCGAAAGTCGGACGCTTAACCGACTAAGCCACCCAGGCGCCCCAGGATATATTAATTTTGAAATAGCATTTAGATACCTGTGGTGTAGCCAGCCTCCACATTTTAACCAGTGAAATGGAGAAAGTGTTGGTAAGGCACCAAGATTAGGTTATAAAAGATGTTGTAGCTTCCTTTTTAGCTACATGTTCTCGTGTGTCTCTCTGTCCCTCTTGTTGCTTGCTCTGGGGGAAGTCAGCTTCCATGCCACAAACAACCTCAGGAGAGGCCCACATGGTGAGGAAGTGAGGATGCCTGCTGACAGCCATGTGAGTGACCTTGCAAGGGGATTCTCCTCAGTCTCAGAAGACCGCGCCCTCCTGCGAACCGAGACCCAGATGTACCCGGCTCACTGCACCTGCACTGCTGACCCTCAGAAACGGTGTGCGATAATGTTTTTATTTTAAAGTCAGTTCCAGGGACAGTTTGTTTCACAGCAAAAATAACAAAATACCCAAGAGATTATGTAAATTTGGGGTTTAAGGAAGAGGTTAGAACTTGTGCAGTGAGGTCAGACTGTATGAGAGCCCTGTGGGGTGAGTACAATGCGAAGAAAGGTCTGGGGACTGAAGCCGAGATCAGGAAGTGGAGGAGGACTAAGGAGGAGCAGCCGCTGAGATCGAAAGAAAAACCATGAGTGTGATATTCCAGAAGCTAGGAAATAAAACATTTGAAGGAGGTAGGAGTTGATCAACACTGTCAAATGCCACTGAGACGCAAACTCGGAGTGCTTGCTGCCTACCTGTGGGTGTTCTTCCTGGGAAAGAGCAGGGAAGTGCCTGGCTGGAGGGAGGATGGGTGCACTCCCCACTTCTGCCCAAGCCAGATGGGGCTGTGGCCGCTGGGCACGTTCCTTGCCAAGAATTGGAGGCCAGGGGCCTCATGTAGGGTACAGTAGAGGGTGAGAGCATGAAGCCACTGTTTGAAGCCAACTGTGACCCTATTCCCCGCCCCACCCTTGCTGCCAGCTCCCTTCTGAGCAGGCAGGCGAAAGGATAGGGCTTGGCGCTCAACAAATGCTGAATGAATGAGTGCCAGTGAATGAATGCAAGTGGCGGGGGGTGTAGGGGGGGGCACTGATGTACTTGAATCTTCCGGACTCTAGTTTTTAGCTCTTGCGTACTCCGAAGCCAGAATATTTCAGCATATGAGCTCCTGGGAGCTGGATGACTGCCGCTGGCCTTTCTCTAGCTCCAGGAAGTGGAGCACGGCATCAGCCTAGATAAATGGGCTTGGCTAATTCTTGAAATCTGATTCTTTATCTAGAATAAAGCTAGTTCCTAGTAGCATGCCTTCTTTGCCAGCAGTTTTTCCTGTTGCAGCTTGTGTCTGGTGGGTGGTCATGAATAAACCTCCCTCAGATGAGCAGTCTCCTGTATTGCAGGGAGCATTCCAGGGGTGAGCTTGTCAGCCGAGGAAGGTGGCTGCACAGAAGGCCCCCGCTCGGCCCCTGGTCAGAGAACACAAGAGTGTGGCCCAATCTGATTGGTCTCTGGGGAGCAGTCCCTTTGTCCCCACTGTGTGGCCCTTCTCGGCAGCAGGGGTCTCTGGCAGCGACCTCGGTGTGCGCTCCCCTGCCACTTTCCAACCAAATGAGCCTCTCTAAGGAAACTACGTTCCTCCCTCTCTGGTTGAGAAAAAGCTAGATTTTTAAAGGCAAAACCATGATAGAATATTCTTTATTTAAGTTTGCAGGTTTGTCTTCATCTTGTCCCAGAATAAGGTGGATGAATGGCCTGTGAGGAGATGTGTGCAGGCTGGGCAGGCTCACGCTCGAGGAGCTGCTAGTTGGGTTCAAAGCTGGTTAGTTGACTATCTGCAGTACCGAAGCCTGTGATAGAAAGTATTCCCCAGGGAAGAACAGAATTAGTTCTTGTTTTCTAGAACTTTTTAGCCTTGTTTTTTTAAGACTTCTGTAACAAAGTACCATAGACCACATGGCTTAAAAATGGCAGAAATGGATTGTGTGAAGGCCCTCAAGGTGTGGCAGGGCCACACTTCCTCTGAAACCTGCTGGACAGGATCCTTCCCCGCCTTTCCCTTGCTTCTGGTGGTTGCCGGGAGGCCCTGCTACTTCTTTGCTTGTAGCTACAGAGCTTCGGTCTAGGCTCCTGTTGTCACATGGCTTCTCTCCTGGGTATCTGTCTATTCCTATGACACCAGTATAACCTCATCTGAACTTCCTACATCTACAATGACCCTGTTTCCAGACATCACATTCTGAGTTATTAGGGGTTTAGGACTTCAACATGACTTTCTTTTTGGAAGGGAACAGGGGTCAGAGTTTAACACATAAAAGTATCATTTGGAAGCCATCCAGATGGACAGATGCCCATCCATTCAGTAGTAGGCCATAGAGACTGATGTGTAAAAAAAGCATTACTCTACCTCCAGACGGATGGCTTTCAATCTCTGCTGCTTTATCAGCGGCAAGACACTGGGCAGGTAGGTAAAGTCTTCCAAATGGAGACAAAAGTAAGTATCCAACACATTGTAACAAAATTAAGATACTATCTTAAAAATGTCCAGCAAGGTACAGGGTGTTGCTTAATGAAGACCAGCTATTTAAGGGAACTGTACTATGAAGTGGTAGGGCTGTGGGTGAATGAATGGTTAGCCGTTGT